ATATAATATATTCAATTTTTATCTGACCATACCGAAGTAGGGAATTTGGAAACTTTATAGTAATGTGAAATTTGAATTACAATATTACACGATATTACATAATTAGTACTTATTTTAGGTAGGTACTAAATTTGTACTTGGAGAAAGTAATATCGATTTTTACAAGAAAACTTGAAAAGTAAATTAATTTAGTTCTTATTTCTGATGTAAAACTTAAAGCAAGAAAACAAATAAATTGTAGTTTGTTCAACAAGGGTGGATATGATAGCCATATCACACAAAGACGAAGTTTGAGCACGACGTCGTAGGCGGAGTACTCAATCGTCTGATTGTGATATGAACAATCCACTCGATATGGTCAGTATATTTTTTCTACGACCCACTAACGAAAATCTACAAATTTTAAAAATTATTTTAGGTTATTTAGACAAAATAACTAATTTTAAAATAATTTACGAAGTTGACTAATTTATAAAATAAAATAAACATGAAAAATTAATTAGTCCTCGGCCTAGATTCGATCCCGGGCTTTTCGCATGGAAGGCAGATGTTCTGTCCTCATCTTCACCGAAACTTTCAGGACTTTAATTTTAATACTCGTAATTAAATTAGTATCATGTAGTTTGATTAAATTTTTTTTTTTAAATGTGCACACAATAAAAACAAAAATGCTATTATTTATCGAGTCTACACAAACATTTTAATGTATATTTAATATCAATAACTAAAATATATATTGACAATTAGTTTAACAGAATTGTCACTTATTTAAAAATTTTTAAATAATAGGAGTTGGGTGACCAAAATATGAACGTGATATGTAGATTTAATTTTGTTAAAGTGTTCTCACTACCTAAAATGGATATGAAATATATTTGTAGTTGAACGCAATAGCATACTTTTTTGTTTTGTAGCATGTGCATAGATTGGCTAATATCCATGCACAGATTACAAAACGAAGAAGTATGCTATTGCCTTCAATTGAACGAATATATTTCATATCCATTGTAGGTAGTGAGAACACTGCAAAAAAAATTCTCCAATCACCCGACTATTATTTTTAAAATTTTAAATAAATGACAATTCTGTCAAACTAATTGTCAGTATATTTTTTAGTTATTGAGATTAAACATACATTAAAATAGGTTATTCTTTTGGAAAACGTTAGCATGGATGACTAAAGGGTATTGGGTTAATTAATTCTAAAAGTGTGGTACAAATGTTATTTTTTGTAGCTAATTTTTCAAAATTATTTTGAAATATCTTTTCAATATTGAATATTAGTTCTACAAATTCATCATTTGACAGTTGCAGATTTCCAAATGTATCTGCATTTGCGTTATCATATGCCTTTAAAAAGCAATAAAAAGAAAAATCATCTAATTCAACGTGATCTTTGTTATATTTAAGACAGGTATCACAGGAGTGGATCCGCAAGGCTTTTATTAAAAGGTAACCACACACATACCTGTTAAATTTTTTCTGTAGCAACTCGTCTTTACAATAATTTAGGGTGTTAATAATTTCATCATAAAATAAAATACAAGGTGTTCCATTTAAAAAACATACATTTTAATTTGCCAGGCAAAAACGTGACACCCTGTATATCCAAAGATATTTTTAAAATATGTAGGTATTTTTCAAATCCATATACCTTTTATTTAAAACTTTTTTGCGTGTCTACAACAAAATAATGAACAATAACGCACTAATGGGACACCCTGTATAAATTATATTTTTAAGAATGAAAATTTCTTATAATGTGTTACTTATCGGTTTGGGTCCTTGGGAAAACTAAAGAATGTTTTCTTGCAGGTATAACCCTTATTAAAACAGCTTTTGACTGCACAAACAGAATGATGTCTTTTTTTTTCACTCATTCTACTCACAGCTAAAGAGTCACCAAAATAATAACAGTACCTTTAACTCAAACAAAATCAACGAAATTATAGGCTCCACGAAATTATACAATCAACGAAATTATACGCACGACTCAACACCTTACCTAAGTACACTTCTGAACGCCAGAACCATCTTTTCCCTCCGAAGGCGGAGCTTAAGCGATGCGCGACGAAATCGACGCAAACCGTTGCCGCCAAGAGAGTGTTTTAGCTGTATTGTATAAGCTGTGCTAAAACTATGTTACGTTTGTTGTGTATCACTTAAGAAAATCAATAATGTTTCGTTTTTCGGTATTTTCATTCGTATGTTTTAGTTATGGTCATTTTAAAAATTTAAAATTTGGAATCGTACTTCAATTGCGTTAAGAAAATATGGCGTATTGTGCGAATTCGACCTAAAAGTTATTATGACTAAGGAAATCTACGTATTTTACAAATACCTTTTTACTAAGTTGAATTAACTTCAATTTCACGACATATTAGTTAACTTTACCTATTTAAAGAAATAATAACATAGGTTTTATAAAAAAATTACCTAGGTATAGGTAAATATAACATATATAGGTCACGTTGTTCTGCACTTGAGATTTTAGACGTTTCACTTTATGATAAAAATCGGAAGTATAACGATATGATTGATTATTTTTCGAACTCATTTTATTAATTATTTTTCGCACTCATTTAAAGTTCTATCTACACCACACGTAAATTAAGATTACGACTATAGGTAAAGGTTTTTTTAAAATGGCCGAAATTCTTAAGAATAATGACGAAGACAGTAACTGAACAACCTAATTGTTAAAATAACCTAAATAATATAAATTTTACAAATAGGTCATGTATGACTCTTTTTAAATTGGTGGTTTTTAGTCGAATTTACTTTGTGGTAGATTTTTCAGGTAATTGCTACAACAAAGTTAATAAATATTTCTTCAAGATGACTTATAGGTCGACTAAATGAGTATTCGACTATTTGGTTGAAATTAGGTAGATAAACAGGTAGAATTTTGCTACGATCTCGACCTAATATTACTTTAAAGGAGAGTAAATAAAAGCGGCCAAATAGGTTACTATGGAGGCATAAAATTACGTAGAATGTTTAACCAAATCTACCTAGTTGTATATTCTACTATAAAGACGATTTTTAGTTGCCAAACAGATAGATATTACCTAAATATGGCACCTAATTTTACTACAAAGGAAATTTAACTTTGAAGTAATTGTTGGTTATTTTTTTTAGTAATTTTTTCCTAGCTGATATGGTTAAAGTTACTTTTAAGCAGATTTATGTAAAAGGTAGATTTCTTGGTAGAATTTACGTAAATTTAAATATAAATTAAAACCGTTTGATAAATTTACATTAGAGGTATATTTTCTAGTCAATTTTACGTAATAATTACCTCAATAAGTAAATTCGTCTTTAACAAAGTCGAGTTATAACTAATGTTATAGAAAATGTTTGCTGGGAAAAGTCAATTAAAATTGATGACGATACAGTCCCGTGTGTAAATGTAGCTAGAAGTCTAGGCTTACTTTTAGATGAGAACATGCAGTTTATTGAATATGTAAATAAGCTCTCTTCTCAGTGTTATTTAACATTAAAATTATTATTTGCCAATAAGTATATATTGTCACAACAAATGAAAAAAATACCTTTGCGAAACTCTAATATTGAGTAAAATATTATATTGCATAGTAATTTACTATCCTTGTTTAGATTTAGTAACTTCGAACAGACTGCAAAAAATTCAAAATACCTGCTGTCACTTTATTTATGGGTTGCGCAAATATGATCACATTTCAACATATTTTAGGCAGCTGCAATGGTTAAACATCAAAAACTTATTTAAATATCATCTCTCTTTTGTTCACAATATACTAAAATCTCAAAATCCACCATATTTGTCAACAAAATAATTTCTCGTAATTAGATTCACAATGTAAATATCCATAGACAATTTACACTAACAATGCCACAACACACATTTGCTATTTTAGAAGTTTTACGTACAATGCCATTAAACTTTATAATGAACTAGACAATGAGCTAAAAAATACTTATTCTCGATCAAGTTTTAAACACAAACTAAAAAAACTCCTACTCCAACAGCAAGTCAACAATTAATACGTTTTTTTTTCCTATATTTAAAATTTAAATTTATTTTAATTTTACTACTTTTATTATTGTTTTTATATGTTTTCTACCGTTTTAACCTTATTTGTGTATTGTATTTTAACATTTCAACATTTTAATATATCTTAATACTTTCTATGTTCTAAATTAAGAAGAGTTAGATGGAAGAATAGCCTATGGCTAAATCTCGCTCCATTACTAAAATTTTTGTAACATTTTGAAAAATTATCAATAAAGACGGTTTATTATTATGTAGAATTAAACAGTATTATATCCTCAACCTTTTCCGAGCAAAATAGTATTAAGGAGTTAATATTGTTAAGAAATTTTTCGTGTATAGACATAATACAGTATTTAGTGTGTTGATATTGTTTAGAAGTAAAGTGTTTTGTAATCGGGCAAAAAAATGGCGAATAGGTTAAAAAATGTTGTAAATCGCTTTAAAACCTTCACAAACTCATTCTAGGTTTGAATTAGTGCCAATACGAAATGCTATTTTCGAAGAAAGTCAAGAAAATAGTGGTGTCCCAGTTCCTAACCTCAAAAAAGGTAAGAACAACAATTCATTTTTATTTAAATATTAACTAGCACCCTTTCAAAATTATTGCATGAGTTCATACTACTTCAATGGTGGTTTTTAGTTAAGACAAATATTTTATTAGCTGTTTAAATTTTTCTTTTGAATTTAATACTAAAATTATTAATGCGAGATACTGTTACTGGAAAGTTGATATTGTAAAAAGTTCTGAAAAATGATTGGCATTGAATGGTGGATACAGGGGAAGATTATTGAGACCCTCAAATTATCTACTGCACAAAATCTTGGTATCAGTGACTAGTTTCTGATCATTTCTGGAACAGACCTTATAAAAAGCTTGGGCAATGCTAGTTTACTAAAATAAAAATTACCTTTTACCTATGTAATTAAATTTAATCAAAGAAGCTTTGTAAATTCAAAATGTATATTAAAAAGATAAAAAATCTTTAGTTGCTATCCTACTAACAAGTGAATTTAAGATAGGCGTAACATTAGTCTCTTTATCAGCTATTTTGTATGTACGTTTTATTAAATTCATATCTGCATAATTCTTAAGCTTATCCAAACTAACTTCTTCACCATCGATTTTTTTAAATAAGTCTGTATCCTCTTTGTCGCCTTCTTTCAACAATGTTATCACCAACAAATTCTCATCTTTCTCATCAATTCCAAACGTTTGTAAACTTTTTGATATGTTTTTAGTAGGTGATAAATTGAATAAAATTTCTGTATAAATTGTTTTTGTCGTTAATTTTTCGTTAACCAAAGCTTTATTTGCAGCCACTACTACTTGAATAGGATCTAAAATTAATGTTGGTTTCATTATACAACATTTCAATTCACCTTTTATAAGTTGGTCCTTAATTTCTTTAACATTTTTTACATTCTTAAACAATTTTAGTAAAAGTTTGCATTCTGCTTCTGGATCTAAATCCATATTATTATTAATTTTAATTTTCGTTCTCGCAAAACAAAATATTCAACACGCTTTTTTCACTCATTTGCGCGAGAAATTGAGAATCGGTGACACAGAACACACAGAAATCGGTGAGAATGAGAAATGTCATACGTCAACATGAAAACATTCGATCATAGATCATGTATTGTGTACAGATAATCCATTTCTGTAGTATTATTGTGGCATAATGGGCTATGATTTAATGATTTGGGAGAGAGAAAACGTACAACAAACGGTACGCACAACAGTGCGGTACCGTATGGAAGGGGTAATATTGTTAATAAAAGTAATTTTATAAATTTACTCCAAAATCGTGCAGATGCTATTGCAAATTGAGTTTGTTGATTTTCTCATAGATCCCATCACCAAATCTTGACCACTACCGAGGTACCATCTTTCTAACAAAAAAATAGTTATAGAAATCAGCGGAAAAAGTGGTAAAAAATTATCGCTGAACATACATAAAAAAAAATATTCCAACGAATTGCGAACCTCCTCCTTTTTTGAAATCGATTAATAAAATACTAGATGAAAGCAGATGAACGACATGAATTATTAATTTATTATATATGTACTATTTCGGATTACCTTTCTTTATGAAATAAAAAAAAAAACATTTTATTTATCAACGACAAATAATGATTATGCAGAAATACGAAGATTAAAGTTTATCATTTACTCAAGTACCAGGGCCGGGCGGGCTTCATTTTTACTTTCCTATCTGTATACAGATATAAGGAAAGTATAGGAATCATGATTTTTTTTTATTAGAGTATAAAAATTCCAAAAAAACATGAAGAGTTTTGTTTTGAATTCCTTCCTCCGAGGAGGGTATTAAAAAACGAGCAATTACAAAACACATATTTATTCAATAAAATATATTTTAAGCAAAAGAATGAACTCTACAACAAAAAAATATAAAACGTCTTTTCCTATGAACATTTAACTGGTTGACGGTTGAGTTAATAAAAGCGGCATCAAATATGCAAAAGAGTTAAAAAAAATTTCAGAATAATTGCAGTTTCCTATTTTTTAAATTATTAAACTCAACCAGTAGATTTTTAATATTTATTTGTTCTCTTTTTCAAATGCTAAATGGGTAAGGATTGCCAGTCTCGGATGTAACATTGACCTCCGCTGAGGTGGCTGAGGTCTATCAATTCTAGTAAGGGCAGAAAAACTGGATTCACAAAGAGCCGTACTACAGGCGAAAGTACGCCAAGTCGCTAGAAATTCATAAGTTTCCTTCTTTAAAAGCAGTGTTTTGCCTAAAAATACACTGAAAAATATCGGGATTATCTGCAGCATTCTCGTTTTTCTGTTGATTTATATATTTCTTGACGACTTCTACTTCCGCAGCACTTGTTAATTGAATGCCCAGTTCGGCCAGTGGTTGATATTTTTCAATATCTACTTTTTTTCTTGACATAATAGCTTAAAATGAAATCATTGTTTTCGTTAAATCTACGTCTTAGCTCTACTAATATTATGTCAAGAACTTCAAAAAATATTTATTTGAAATCTGCTTCGCTAACGACTGTAGATCTCATAGGCTCGGTAAGTACAAAATTTTCTAACACTTTGCTGGGTTTTGTTTTTCTTGGGGGTGATGGGTCTTCTGAATCAATAATTGAAAATTGTACGTTCATTATATTAACGAGCCGGTGGTACTCATCATTATTTCGCTTTTCTTCAAGCTGAGACTATTTTCATCATGCCAGCCTCCCTGCTTTGTAGAATTTTGTCCGTGCGTGTACTGCTTGCTATCTATCAGTAAACAGTTTTAAGTTTCAACAAAATATCTTGGTTTGACACTACAGGGAAATTAGGGGAATTACCGAAATAAAATTAATGGTTATCCGTTTTCCGATTTCCAGTTGCAATTTATTGTCTGTGGGTTTGTGTTATTTATTCTTTATCTATGGTTTGTGTTTATTATGTTTTGATTAAAATGGACAGTAAAAGCAATAAGTAACTGCGTTAATAAAGTATTTTCTTGTAAGAGAATATAAGTGACTTTTTTTTCCTGGGCTCGTCTGACTATGTATCTCCGAATAATACTGAAGCCTATTGGCATATTGTATTTTACCCCATGTTAGTTCATAGCACCCGCGCTCTATCACCTTTGTACCTTGTACAAGTTTGTACAGATCCTTGGGTGAGTGGGTTCTATACGTTGTTGGATCAACCTGGGGTTGTCCAAAAAGAGCCTGTCTTTTGCGATCTAGAGCTTCGCATTCGCACAGTATGTGTTTGGCCGTTTCTGGTTTCTTGTGACATAGTCGGCACATGAGTTCCCCATTGTACATGCCAATTTTGTTCAAGTGTCCCTTTACTGGGGCGTGCCCAGTCATGAACCCTGTTATCACTTTCAACTGGTTCCTATTCATTAAGAGTATGCCTATGAAGGCTTTTCCATGTGCCTGTTTTGGGGTGCTTCCCCAATAGTTGATATGTTGTTCCCGAATCCAGTCATTTATAAAACCCTGGACTGTACTTTTTGGTACTCCTGGGTTTATGTCTGGTTCCGGTGTTTCTTCTGACCCTCTTTTTGCAAGTTCGTCAGCCTTTTCGTTGCCTTCGATCCCTTTGTGACCTGGCACCCAAAATAGTTTTACTCTATTTTGGTCTGCCAGTGTTCTTAGTTCTTCGATGCATTCCCATACCAGCCTCGACGTAACTTTCTGACTCGATATGGCCTTAAGTGCCACTTGGCTGTCTGACATTATTTGAATATGCTGATTTTCGACAGCTCTTTCATTGTTCGTTTTTGCACATTGCAAAATTGCGTATACCTCGGCCTGAAATACCGAGGAATGTATTCCTATAGCATAGCTATGGTTAGTATCAGGGTTTTTAAAGAATACTCCAGCCCCAGTGCCTTCCGCAGTCTTAGACCCGTCTGTATACCAGGTTTGTTCCTGTCGTTGGGCATTGGGCTCCCTTATGGTGATCTCCGCTCTTTCCTGTATAAAACCTCAAAGGGAGTATTAAAAGAGTACCTCTTGGTTATGTGGTCTGATCTGATGTCTAGCACGTCTCCTGTCACTAACCTTGAGATACTCACGTGACCTGGCCTAATCTCAAGATTTCCCAGTGTATTCCCTAATCTGTAAGTACCTAATCTTGCCTCCCCTTGTATCACATAGTGAAGAGGTGGGAGTCCTATTAGTGCTTCCATTGCAGCAGTGGGGGTTGTTTTCATATAACTGACTTAGAACCATTACTAAAAATATATTGATATAACAACGGTTCTACTATAAAATTTTTATAATAAGTACATTTTTTCCCAATTCACATTTTCCAAAAAAAATCAATACAATTTTAAAAATCGTCGATGCGACTCATTGTTCATTGTTTGTATTTTTCAACAGCCGTTAATCGCGCTCCTATATATTGTTACGTTATAAAATAGGTAATAAATATCTAAATAAATAAATTAAATGACGCCCAGTATATTATAAAATCCATCTAATAAAATATTTTAATTATCAGCAGTTTATTATTATCTAAACAATTGGTCAATATTGAAAACACCGTGCGGAATGCGAAAAAAAAAGAAGATATACGGGGTCATGCTGGCTTGAGGCGTCGGCCTAGGGGTTAAGTTAAATTAGATAAAAAGTTAGGTTGTGTCTAATCAGTGAACAAAGGGTGCCCTCAAAAGAATGTGAGTAGATTATTGTTCTTATTTTATTATATCTATATTTTTGATAGTGGAAAATATAATTGGTTTTTTGTAAGTGTTCTTATTTTTCTGTGTTCTTCTCCAACCCTTTCTGGTAGTTAGTGGCTACGCTGACGGGGTTAATAGCACACCCCGTAGCAATATGGGCAATTTTCTAGGGGGGGCGCAGAGAAGCTTTAGGGGGGGCTCCCCTCGCTACGGGCCTGTCAAGTACTCTAGCAAAATTTTATGTTCAGATGGGTCAGGGGGCCGAAGACATAATTTTATAGTCTATTAGGTGTGAGTTCTTTATTTTTTAAATAAAATGGACAGCGTCGATTAAAATTTACTGTAAAAGGTCTTTACAAAACATACCACATATTCCTTAGACCAAAATAAGTCGATTTAAGTAAAATTACCTTAGTACAAAGTTGCTTCGTTTGGGCTCCAGAGGGCCTTGAATTTACAATTTTTAAATCGTTTTTCCCATATAAATTTAATACGGCATATGCGATTTTGCTGAAATTTGGTATATGGTAGAGTTTTATGTGGCAAAAAAAAATGGTATTAAAATTTTGTCCGATAATAATACATAGGCATATAACTTGATTTTTTAAATAATTGCACCTTTAAAAATTCTACGCCAATGGAAGAAAAGGAGTTTGAGTATGAAATTTAGATTGCGCAACTCATTTACTTTAAAAACGGTACTGTTTTGTTATTAATAAATTAGTTTTGATTATTCCACTTTTTAATCATTTAATGCAGGTAGTAACTACAAAATAACAATAAATCCAGTTCGCATTTATGACACTGATCTGCATTATTTTACTGGATAGGATATAGCCCCCTAAAAAACGTTCCGAAAAATTGGCCGATTTGGGCAAATAATCTTAGATAATATAATAGCAGATAGGCCACCACTGCATAAAGTTATACAATAGGTATTTCCTTTGCATCGACAGTGTAGCACTGAGCTACGTCACTTCTGAAAATATTGTTCTATCCATACAATTTGTATAAATGGAACGATATTTTCAGAAGTGGTGTAGCTCAGTGCTTAGAATGGAAACTGCAATGTTAAAATTTGAGACAGTTTTGTAACACCCGGTGAGCGTTCTTTGAACTATTTGGCGGAAGTGGCGCCATCTCGCGGTCACTTTAGTTAACACAAAACGCGGGAACATTCAAAATGGTCCTTCAAAATTTAGTTTAAAAGTGGTAGTCAAATTAAGATTTGTTCATACCAACTCCTTTTTTACGTTTATTGTAGCAATAAAATTATATTTGTTACAATAAAGCAAAAAATGAGTAGTATGAACCAATCCTAACTTGACTACAAGTTGAAATATTTTTACAAAAAATTAAAAAGCATGATCAACAAAATTAATTTATTAAAACAAAAAAAAA